CCCCCCGCCGACCCGACCGCCAACCTTCCCCCCCCCCCCCCGCCGCCGCCGTCCATTCTCCTGTCAACGGGTTAGGGACAACGCCGCCTCCAGCGGCGGTCCCTAACGAGGCGGCCGCGAGGGCCTCCTCTCGGGCCGTGGACCACCGCAGCGACAGCTCCTCGAGGATGTGACTGGCGAGGGACTTCTCCCAGTCGAACAGCGGCCGGAGCGACAGCGGGGAACGGGGCTCGTCCTCGTCCCGTCCCAAGCTCTTTCCGACGGAGGCGGCGGAGCGGGACAACAGGGGGAAAGACAGAGTGGTGATAGATCGGTCTGGATGGCGGCGTAGGGGAGGGGGCGTCCTAATGTTTTGAATGCCTGTAGCGGTTACACCATTGACCACGTAGTGACCATGTGGGGTGGGGGGGTGGACTCATGTAAAAGCATGACATATTGTCGCCAGACCACAGACGTCGCGTTTCTACGATGCCGGGGACGTTGGTGGTATCCAGAGAACGATCCGACCTCCTTCCGAGAACTCCACCGCACCATCGATCACTTACAGACAAAAACCCGAAGAGCGTGGGAAATGGATCCAGATCGCACGGGATCATCAGACAAGATCAACCAAACACTACCGCATGGCAAACGCCTTCCTCTCTCTCTCTCTCTCTCTCTCTCTCTCTCTCTCTCTCTNCTCTCTCTCTCTCTCTCTCCCACCCCCTCCCCCATGGACAAAGGCCAACTTTTCCACATCCAATCGCTCGAAAGCAAACAACAACAACAACAACCATTCATTTACGGGCGTATTTCCCTCTCGTCGCGAGGACACGATCGCCAAACAACCGCTCACCCTTCCCTCCGGCCTCACTCTCAGCCGGGGAACCCTCAGAGACAAGCACCTCCGCGACCCCCCCGGTATCTCCACCACCTGCCCCCTCCCTAGCCCCCCCCCATCCTCCGGGCCCCCAATTGTCCCGGCCGTGAGCTGCCGCCGATGACGTCCTTGTTGTTTTTGTTTGGCGCGGTGGGAGCGCCACGGGAAGACCGGGAAGGCGCTGTCGTTGGCGAGCTCGAGGACCAGCAGGCACTCGGTGGAGTCCGCGTCGACGTCGAATCTCAGGCCGCCGCCGAGGAATTGTGCTACCTGACGGTCGTGGTAGTGGTCGTAGTTATTGTTGTGAGGACTGCTGCTTGTGGAATGGGCTGGGGTCGTGGGTTATTGTTGTGGTAGCGTCGGCTGTTCGGGAGTGCTGGAACAGCCACTGTTGAATGTGCTACGGGCTGGATGCTCGTGGTGGTGGTTATTGCTGTGTTGCGTTGGTTGTTGTCAGGGAGTGTTCTGGATGCTCGTGGTGATGATCCATCCCTTGACGCTGGATGTCGCCATCGCTGTGGTGGTGGCTGTTGTTGCTGTCGCGTTGGTTGCTGCCAGGAGTGTTGGGAAGCCACCTGTGTTACGGGCTGGCTGCTCGTGGTGACGATTCATGCAATGTCAGTGTCGCTGAGTTTGTTGTCATCAGGAGCGTTGGAAAGGCACTGCTGCTCGTGGTAGGTACGGACTGGTTACGACCGCGCGCGGTCATGGTTGATTCAATGTCACGGCCAGTCCCTATCGCCCCTCCTTTTGAGTTTAGTGTACCGAGAGTGGGTGACATGATGGCACCCCGAAAGAGACGTGTGCATCCAGAAAATACACAGCGCGTTCACAACGCTTGCACCTAGTAGTGGTGACACAGGGTACGCGGCAAGCAATTGGGTGCGACTTTCATTCGCGTTCAAGTGCAAAAAAACGCAAGCGTACCAGACGGACGGCGCACACCAGCAACAATGAGGAATTGTCCGGGAGAGTATATGAATTAAACTAAGGGCCATCAATCATTGCTTGTATGTGCAGTTACCGGGGGGAGGGGTCTTCGCATTCTCACCCTAAGACTGCAGACGCGGAGCCCCCCTCGTATCGTGAGGCGCAGCGGAAGTCTCAGCTGACGGTGGAACGGCGCCCCTTCCTTCTCAGAGTACTTCACCAGCACCTTCATATCGGACCAATCAGATGCCGTGGGAGAGGGGAGGAGGGGGTCAACACAACACGCTCGTTAAGGGAAAGCGAGATAGGGGCGGTGAATCTCGACAAAAAGTCGGTTATCTCGAAGGGGGCCGACAAGGAGAGGGTGTCTGCCAAGGGCGAAGGTTTGTCGGTACACCCATGACGGGGCGGCAAGAGAGGGAGGGGAACGAAAAACAAAAGCTTTGAAAGAAAACACCGGCAGAAAGTCGAGTAGAAGTCCAGCGCGTGGAAACCAACCAATTAACGTTGACCACCGCCCGACAACGCGGGCCCCCCCTCGAGGATATTTTCCACTTCCGCCTAAGTCTCTAGCAAGGCACAACCAGCCGTGTGGAAAGAGGGGTGGCACACATTCAACAACCCCAGCAACAGGTAGATCACGTCACGATTGCACGCAAAACCTCACGTCCCACGCTTAAGCAAGGGTCAAGCCACAACAAACCAACTACCTCTCGTCCCCCCCCCCCCCC